TTTTTTTTTTTTTAGTTGTAATTGGAGATAGGCATTTCATTCAAGTCTGTATTTCACTCCAAAATGGAATGGTAATGGACGCTTACTTTTAGTTCCAATTTGTCCTCAACCCTCTTTTCACTAACCATTACATAATTTGTGTGATGTACATGGGTGAAGGTATTTTATGGCAGAACACACCCGTGTATTATTTATAGGTATTCATGTGCCCTAGTATCTGAGGACTGCAGTGTATCAGACAATCTGTTTTGGAGATGCCTAAATAAGGAGAGAAATAATACTGTCTAGGACAAGGGCCAAATTCCATTTCTGTCCATCATGTCTTCATATTACCTATTACTTCCTGACCTGGCAAAAAAAAATCAGTCTGGAGACTATCAATTTATACCTACTCTGTGATGACAAGAAGAGACATACCCAAGAGGCCCGGCCAATACACATAGTAAAAGGAAAGTCATTAAATAATCGTTGTTTGAAACCGTCAGTTCCAACTCTTGGTGACTCCGAATGTAGAGTAGAAATGTGTACCACAGGGTTTTTCAAGGTTGTAGCCTTACAGAAGCAGAACTCCAGGCCTGTCTTCCAAGGTGCCTCAAGGAAGGCTTGAACTGCCAGACTTGCTAGCAGCAGAGTAGTTAACCACTTATACTACCCCTCCATGACAGACTAATCAAACCATACAACCCCTGCCCCCAGTTTTAATAATACTCCTTGCCACTGAGTGAATTCCAACTGATAGCAACCCTATATATAGGACAGAGGAGAACTGTTCCTGTGGGTTTCTATGACTATAGCTCTTTACAAAAGCAGAATGCCTCATTTTTCTCCTGAGAGCACCTGGTAGTTTCAAACTGCTGATCTTGTGGTTAGCAGCCCTATGTGTATTACCACTATGCCATCGGGGCACCTGAGTCTTAATAACAGCAATCCTAAAGTTATATCAGAAAATCAAGGAAGATACACATTCTAGGACATCATTAGTGGGTCATGAAATCAATTTAGTAGATCATAACAACATTTTAAAAATGAAATACAAATAGGCAAATTGTAGAACATACAGTATATTACCAGAAGCTAAAAGCATTAGTTCATGAAAATGTTTAATTAAATATATTGCATATATATATGTGAGTAGATACATATATAAAATACACATATGTACATGTGTACTGGGTCAGAAGGTATTTTCATTGTAAAACAAATGATCAAAAATAGAAACCTAGTAGCTAGAGAAGATATATTCTTTGCAAACCAGAAAATAGTTCCTATTCTTTGTGATTTAGACCCAAAGAACTCCCTAACCTCACTCTAAAATCATAGTCTAAGAAAAATACTAGTAAACTTGACCTCACGGTTTTCTTTGTATCCCACAGTCTTTCCATTACAAAGCGTCCTCTTCTTTCAGTCCTCCTCCTCCTCCTCCTCCTCCTCCATGGCTGCCCTCTCCTTCTGTCTGTGTGGCTCCAACTAATTCCGATCATGGGAATTATCTTTGCCCCTGAAACATTATCATCTGTCTCTACATTTTCCCCTTGTAGAACACCTTCCCATTTGTATGATTACTAGTAACCTAGTCGAAAAGACCTACATATATGCCACGTCCTTTCATGGTTCTGTGCTTTTGCATAAACTGCTACTTCTACCTCTGGGTGAGAAGAAGTCCAGCCATAAATGACAGAGGGGAGGATACAGAGCCAAGAACTTTGCTTGTTTGCTTATTTTTTTGTTTGAAAAGAGGGAAGTTAAAGATAGGAGAATATGTATGGTTTAAAAAAAAACTCTTTGGAACTAGAAAAGAATGCTAGTTAAAACCCATACATAGCTTTGAAGATACAATTGGGCATATAGCAATGGATTTATGGCAGTTTGAATTTATACTGCTGTGTCGTTTTTTTAACCCCTCCTTAGTTACTCAAAGGAGTTCTGGAAGCAGACATTAAGAAGGTAGAAAACTGGACTGACCTAATGGTTGGAACTCTGCTACCTAGCCAGAAGCGACATAAGGGAATAAGGGTAAAAGCATTCAAAGCACACATGACAAAGTGATTAAAATGACTGAGAACAAAAGAAGTAAATCCAGGAGAGCAAACTGAAATAAAATGAAGTTGAGGCGTTTGAGCCCCGGGATGGAAAAGAGTGTTAAAAGAGTATAGGAGTAAAAAGTTCAAAGACTGGAAGATGTGTCCATATTGTGAAATACAGTGTTTTAGAAGAGAGGTGATAATACAACCAGAGCTGTGTGTGCCTAGAGTAGAGTGAAACTGTAGACGGATTGTTCTACATGGCTACAGAAGCCATTTAGATAGAGAGGCATATATTTCAGTTCTGGATATATGAGGGGTCTTCAAAAGTTTCAGGACAAATGGAATAAAAAAGACAATAGAGTTTTTCCACAAAGTATTTGAAGCTCTTTGTATATTTAAACCCTGGTGATGTAGTGGTTAGAATTGGGCTGCAATCCACATGGTAGGTAGTTGGAACCCACCAGCAGCTCTGTGGGAGAAAGACTGGGCTTTCTATTCCTGTAAACAGTTAGTCTCAGAAACCCACAGGGGTCACTGTGAGTCAGCAATGACTCGTTGACAGTGAGTTTTTTTGGTTTGGTATACTCAAGACTTGAAAGCAGAAACATAAAGATGCACGTACATCAGTGTTCATAGAAGCATCATTCACAGTAGCCAAAAGATGGGGACAACTTAAATATGTATTAGCAGAAGAATGGAAAATCAAAATTCAAGGAGGCTTCAAAATGTTTGTGGGAAAATTCCATTATCTTTTCAAGACATTTTTCTACAAAATTTATTAAACTCCCTTGTACAACACAAATGCGTGTATGTATTATGAAGTTTTAAAAGGTTAGACATAAATCAATAGAAGTTCTGTTATTTTCTTCTAGCGTTCCAATGGCATCTTGTAGGTTCCATTCTGGAGAAATAGATGGGTGCTGCAGCCAATGAAGAAACATACAATTGACACAGACTAGGAAAAGATGAAACCAAGATCCTGACTCTTTAAAACTTCTGACTAAGCCATGGATTTTGAAGATTTATCAAGGTACCACTTCACAAAGAAGTCCCCAAATCCTTTTAACTGCAAAAGAATCTAAGCAATGACCAAATATAGCTCAAACACTCAGGTACCCATATCCAGGACGCCACTCTAATCTCATACCAAAATCATGGATGATCAAGTTGTTTATATAAAATGTTGTAGTATATTTGCATATAACCTATGCACATCTTTCCATATACTTTCAAATTATCTCTAGATAACACCTAATGCAATGGACACATAAAAGCTGGGTAAACAGCACTCTATAATCTCGTAGGCTTTGAGGGATTGCTTTGATCACTCAATCACAATTGTTTATTTATAAAGTATTTCCAATCCATAGTTGGTGGAATTTGCTGGCACCCAAAAGCTGACTAATATATCCCTCAAATACAGTAGATCAAAGAAAACCAATGGTATGGCACAATGTCTCCTCTACAAGAAAAATAACCTCTTACATGTTACACCAAAAAGTCCACTCACCTGAATAAAATGTGTTGATTTTGGCAAGTTCCTTTTCACAGGTTTGGAAAAATTTTTCTTCAAACTTGGCAAAATACCTCTTTACTGTGTCTTCATCTGTAACTGGAAGGCAAGAAAACAATATTTAAATTTATCTGAAAGCTAATTAAGGAAACCAGGAAACTAAAAATTAAAGTTACTATCTTCCTTAATCTTCAAAATGACAACTATATATGCCTTTCTGTGAAAAAGAAGCTGTGAACCAATAAAGGAGTAATCAAAAGCCTCTTCACATAAACACATACCATGCTTTATTTTACAATACTGTTTCTTATCTTAGTTTGTATTGCTAACACTATGCACAGCAAACATGCCCTGATCCAACAGTTTCTCCATTTGCCAACCAGAGGCAGTTACTGCATTCTTCAAGTTGCACAACCATTCTCACTCTCCTTTTCTGAGATGTTTTTCCTCCTTAGCAAAAATTCATTCACCCTTTAATTAAATGAGACTCTAAAAATCTCTACTATAATAAAATTTAGAGAATTTATTACAGGTATTGCTCTCTCACATGTTACATGAAAACAGTGTAATAAGTGAAATGATCTTTTAGATGATCATAGTCTACTCCAAAGTGTAAAGATTTTTATAATAAATGGAAAATTAATGATGGCTGGATTCACAGAGGAGATTAATATAGGAGAGGCAAGGAAAAATAGATAAAATAATTCAGGGACAAAAAGAATGTGTAAAATGTATTCTATTGGGATAAAATAGCTCATTGTCCTATGCTAAATTGCTCTCTGATCATTTTCCCCTCAGCTGACAGACAGAGAAGGAAGAGTGGACTGATGGGTGTAAATAAAGATGATACAAACCACCCAGGGGTTGGGTAGGCAACATAAATGAATTGACAAAGTGAATGGTTGTCCAAGTAAGTGGCAATCGGCAAATTCCAGATAAGAAGTCATGTGTGCTATGTAGACTATGGAAAATTAGGTAGTTGTGGCCATGTGGTAATAAGTGGTCGATGTTGTGGAAAGAAGTCATACATGCAAATATTTTTAAAACACCACTACTTTTGCCAATCTGTATATGTTTCCCTAGCATGAAATAATATAATGATCAACTTAAACCCTAAGGACAGCTATATGTAGCTTTAGAAACTCCCAAGCCTATAAGAGTTTTTAGCCAAAGTTAGATCTGACTAGCCTTTCCAGAAGTTAAATCATAATATATAATAATACTGTTCTGGCTGATGAAGCTTAAAGTGTCTAGAAAGAACAGAGGTGCCTCTCAGTGGCCAAAATCTTGGCACAAAGCCAGAAATCCTTAAGTAACTTACCTTCTAGAAATAAAAGAAACGACATTTTCCTGGGTAGTATTTCACACACACATACACACAGACACGCCATTTATACAAGAGCTAATGAGAAAAATGAGCAGAGGATCTAAATAGATATTTCATCAAAGACAGTAAACAAACAACCATACAAAGATGCTCATTGTCATCAGTCTCTGGGAGATGTAAGACTAACAACAACAACAACAACAAAACCATACTGGGTTAGGATTTGATTTGCACTAGGATGACCAAGATTGAAAAATAACAACCAATGCTAGGTAGGATTTTTATGTAGACAGTTATAACACATCTTTAGCAGTGGGTTTGGTTTATGGCAAGGGCAATGCAAAAACCCAACAGACACTAGAAAAAGTGTGGCAGTTCCTCACAAAGTTAAATATAGCTTGTATGAACCAGCAATTTCTACTCTTAGGTAGTATAGCCAAGAAACTTGAAAAGCAAGCAGATAAATGTACACCAGTGTGCACTATTCAAAATAACAAAAAGGTGTGAACAAACTAAGTACCTCTCAACAGACATGAATGGATAAACAAAATGTGGTTTGATCATACAATGCAGTAGTATTCTGCTATAAAGTGAAATAAAGTCCTGATACATGCTACAACATGGATAAACCTTGAAAACATGCTGAATGAAATGAAGTCACTCAAAAAGGGACAAATATTGTATGATCTCACTAAAGATAAATACCTAGAATAGACAAAGGGATAGAAATTAGAGGTTAACAGTGATTACCTGAGGCTGGAGGGACTGGGAGAAGGAAAATCTTTGTTTAGGTAATACAGGGTCTTTGTTTACGAGGATGGAAATGGCTGCACAAAATGACTAATGTAATGTATTTTACTGAATTTTACATGTGAAAATTACCGAATTTCCAAATTTTTCTTTATATTCCTAGAACTATATTATTTTTGAAAAAACATAGAATCTATCCATTTATTTGCATAATACAAATAAAAAATATTAATATTGCACAAAATCTTAACTTTTATTATATATACCTTCTCTGGATAATATAGTATAGAATGCTCTATTGATTCCAAAGCAAAGAAGGTATGACCACTTTAATTTCCTCATATAAGCTCAGCAATTTAGGTATAAGAAAGTAGGGGCTATCCAAGGCCGCAGAGAATTTCCCCCCCCCCCAAAGAATAAAGCAGAATATGGCTTTTCCACTACCCTTAAAACTGACCTTGAGTTTAGAAGGTGCATGGCAACAGATGCTGCTCTTAAATAGCATCTTTCTATAGCACATTTTAAAATAGGAAGAGTCTACTTAATTACTACATCTTTTCCCCCCCAGTTTTATTCTTTCTATGCTTTTAGAAAAGAAAGCCCAATGGACTAGACAGTATTTACTTTGCTTCCAGATTAACAGATAGTTTTCATTGACAAAATCTATTAGAAATAGACAAAGTTGTTCTGTGAAGTTATTTGAAATTAATTTTAGGCAATACTAATATTTATATAGAAGCTGTATATACAGCAATATAAACTATTTAGAATATTACCAACAACCTAGAAACAAAAACATCTAGGTCTCTGAAAAACTAAATATATCTAATAAATTTTATATGAGTATATAAATGAGTATATATAATTCTACTATGAATTAATCTCCTATGAAGTCTTCATTTCTTTACTTGAGAGCAAGTTTTATCTAAAATTCCAGGAGCTTTCATCTAATTTTCTACTTAACCCATAACTTAAAAATAGAGGGTAGAACAAGGCGTTAGCAACATTAAGAGGTAACAGCTACCCAAGAGGGAAGAGGAGACGAAGCATTACAAATAAAAACAGGAAATAGGGCTGAGAAAAGGATATTAAGTGAAAGACAATGTTCTTGTCCTGTAAGATTTTAAAAAGATACCATTAACTACAATAATTAGAAGTAGATACTTGGTAAAGGAATCAGGTAACTACAATAATTAGAAGTAGATACTTCGTAAAGGAATCAGGAAAAGAAAAAGAATATAAAGGCAAATACAAAAACAGATCTGCACATATATGAAGATTTACATTAAGATAAAAGGAATACTTACATTTAGATCAGTGACATAAAAATAGATTCTACAACAAACAGGCTGGGTCAATTGGCCTTAGAATGACTTAAATGAACTCCAGATGGAGTTAAAGAAAAATTGAGTTGAATAAAATATTATTCAAAAATTACCTTTTTATAATTATACATAGAGAAGGCTTTCCTAAATACTACACAAAACACAGAAGCCATAAGGGAATGTTTGCACTCTCACAAAATGAGAACATTTCCATTCCACAGAAACAAGTAAAGAACCAAGTAGAGAAAATATAGTATTTTAAAATAGTGCTATCATTTTGGCAATAGTGAGAATGAACATTCTTAATGCTGTTGGTTAAACTGTAAATGCAGAGGCTTTTAGGAAGACAATGTGACAGTGGTTAGCAAAATGTTTTATTGTTTCCTTGTGATCTAGGACATGTATTCTAATAGAATCTCTTGCTGAATAATGAATATACTTAAGAATGACAGCCTATGATTATTCTTTAATAGTGATAGAGAGTAAACGCTGATGTTCAACAAAAGGGAATGGGTGAATAAGTTATAATAACATTATATAAACCATTTTCAGGACTAAGGTGCACCTGACCCAAGTCATGGTATTTTCAATTGCCCCATATGCATGTGAAAGTTGGACAATTAATAAAGAAGACTGAAGAAACATTGATGAATTTGTATTAGAGTGGTGGCAAAGAATACTGAAAGTAATATGGACTGTCAAAAGAACAAACAGACCCGTTTTAGAAGTACAGAATGCTCCTTAAAGGCAAGGATGGTGTGATTTTGTCTCATGTATTTGACATGATGTCAGTGTTTTGCTCTGTTGAACATGAGTTGGAACCGACTTAATGGAATCTAACAACAGCCTGTAGTCTTTTAAAAAGTGGTCCGGCCACATACAGGTATGATGAATAGCACCAAAATACTGCTGGAAAAAAACACCCCAGAATATATACAGTATGAGCCTTTTTATGGCAAATATATACATAAATTAATATCCATATAAACAAACATAGGAAAAAATTTTAAGGCTGAATCACACTGTTAATTGTGATTACTTCCTTCCAAAGGGTAGAAGCTATGAGAAGGGTTCTTACACTTTATTTTCTACACCAACTGTATTGTTTGAGTCAATTAAAATGAAAATGTATTCATAAAAGATAAATGTGAAGGATTACAGTAAAGAAGTAAAGGGCATTATTAAGTAGAATAAAAAACATGTCACACCAAAGTCCTTTAATTTTACTTAGTAAGAACTAACTAGCCTAGGTAGTAAAAAGAGTATTAGGATTTAGAGATATATACAAGGATTAAACTTTTCTCATTTTGATCATGAATTATTGAAAAAATGTTGATTTGTAGAACATTAACTTCTGTTATAAAACTTATTCTGTAAGGTGCCTGCTGAATAATTATAAATCAGTAACCCGAATCCAAGATCCAGAAAATCTCAGTTTTCAGAACATGACTAGCCTAATTCCTTTATTTTACAGCTGAGGAAATTATGGTAGTCTAAATAATTTGTTTGTTTTATGTTTGTCTGTTTTTGCCTTTCCCCCCTCTCACCGTATTTTCTTATTTCAAAATAAAGAGTAATTATATATCAATCATAGGAGCCTTGGGGGCTTTGGGGGCTACACAGTGGTGTGCTAATCCCAAGGTCAGCAGTTAGAAAATCACTAGCCACTGTGCTGGAGAAAGATGTGGCACTTTCTA